TTTTTCCTAACCATGTTTTAAATAGTTTTTTTATTAAACCTCTTTTAATAGCAAAATCTATAAAAACACCCCTGTTAAAAAAAAAAGAAGAAAAAACTGATTGCAAAAAAAAATTGAAAGAGAAAATGCAAGAAAAATAATCTTTGGCTTAGAATGAGCTTCCAAGGTGAGCTCTGATTGGTTGGCTTACAAACCACTATGGGATTAACCCTCGTGTTGTGGAGATGTTATGTTTTTTTGAGTTTTCCCATTTCATTAGAACCGAACCAAACCAACACCTCCCCGAACAAAAGAGATACTGAACAAAATTTTACATTTGGAGAATTTTGTTCAGAAGAACCAAATTCTTCCCGTGCTCAAGTCTAGTGAAAGATGGCAAACAGGGAAACACAAAGTACAATAAAATATGATACAGAAATATAGCCACCAGCAAAAACATGCACAGTCAACAACATTGTACATCAGGGCTTGATAAATCCCAAATGCCAGGTTGCCATGGCGACTAAATATTTTGACCTGGTGCCTGGGATTTGTCATGCCTTATCCTTCCTCCTCCTGTCTCAATCCCCATGCAGGGAGGAAGTGAAGGGAACTGTAATTACTTCCTCCCGGTAGAGACCGTGCAGGGGAATGGCAAGCTAGCCTGGCAGGACACCAGGAAAAGATGGGTCTGCTCCCTGCCCCAACGTCGTATAACCGACCCTGCTCCCCACCCGACCTCCTGCCCCCATGCTGTATAGCCGATCCTGCTCCCCACTTGTCTCCAGCTCCCATGCCGCAGAGCCAGCTGGCAGCCCTTTCCCCTGCGTGACCTCAGCGCCAGGAGAAAGTTATTACAGTTCCCTTCACTTCTTCCCGGTGCACAGAGAGCTGCATGGGGCTGGAGAGACAGAAGGAGGGAGTCAGGAACAGCGGCAGCCTACTTCCATTAGCCGCAGCCAGCCCCACTAACTTGATGTCACCTGCTGCTGCCCAGTCCCACTGGACCCCAGGGAAGCCACCTTCCTAAGCCCAAAAGGTAGAAAACAGGAGGTTGGCTAAAAATATGTATTTTTGTCTTATTTCTGTGTATCTGTCATGTGTGTATGTCTGTGTATTTGTCTGTGTGTGTGTGTAAGAATGTTCGTGTTTGTGTGTGTAAATATTTGAGTGTATCAGTAATAAATAATAATTTGAGTGTGTGAGAATTTGTGTGTGTCTGTCTGTCTGTGTCAGTGTGTGTGTGTATCTGTCTCTGTCAGTGTGTGTGTCAGTCCGGGTGTCTGTCAGTGACTGTATATGTTCAGGTCATCAGTCCCTTCCGATCGCATGAAAATAATGTTTTTGCTCATCTTTTTTCCAGCGACATACTGGTCTCATCAGAGCTGGCCCGCCTCTGTAGTTCAGATTATCAATTACCAATCAGCATCTCCTCATAGAGATGCATTAAATCAGTTAAAAGCATCTCTATGGGGAAAGTTTAGCGCCTCCATGCAGAGAGTGGAGATGCTGAATGTAGGTGCTGTACATTGTGCAGCACTGAGATAGGAGAAATGTTAGTGGCCATCTCAGTGACAGTCACTAGACGTGTTTCTAGGCAGCAATGTAAAAACTGCCTTTTTTCTGAAAAGGTACCGTTTACATTGAAAAGTCTGCAGGGACAGGCTATATACACGAGAGCCATTACATCAGGCCGTAGTGGTTCTGGTGACTATAGTGTTCCTATAAGAATTGTATTTTTGTTGTTGGGGAAAAAAACCTGGCTCCTAACTTTTTTAGCTGGCTACTAGATTGAAAGCAAATTTGTCAAACCCTGTTGTACATCACCTCATTTCAACATTTTTTTAAACTTTACAAATATTTCTAGGTTGTATTCACAGTTCGAGTGAAATGATTTTGCGTTTATTATATTTTTTTAATATAATTATTTTTGTTTTTTTTGGTTTTGCAGCAATATTTGTTGTGTCGGCCATTTATGTGCAATATTCAAAAATTGTCTTTATCTCCTTAGCCACTTTTTTAACAGGTCTGTATATTGCCGTGAAGTAATGCTTTGACCTAAATTAGTTTGTTCACAAGAGAAGTTAACTGATCACATGGTCTAGGCAGATACATTCAGGGCCGGCCTTAGGGGTGTGCGAGCTGTGCGGCCGCACAGGGCGCCATGGCAGCAGGGGGCGCCCTATGGCTGACACAGCTTGCACACCCCCTGCCCTCTACCAGGGCTTAGCAGCGAAAGAGACTGTAGGAGGCGGAGCCAAGCAGCCAATGGGGGCGGAGCCAAGTGGTCGGCGGGGGCGGAGCTAACCGAGGCCTGAATCTGCTGCCTGGTAAGTGAGACCATAGTGCCCCTGCTCCCCCTATAGTACCCCTGTTCCCCATCTATCCCTATAGTGCCCCCCTCTTCCCCTATACTAATCCTGTTCCCCATCTATCTCTATAGTGCCCCCCCCCACCCCTACCCTGTTCCCCATCTATCCCTATAGTGCCCCCCTCTTCCCCTATAGTAATCCTGTTCCCCATCTATCTCTATAGTGCCCCCCTCTACCCCTATAGTAACCCTGTTCCCCATCTATCCCTATAGTGCCCCCTCTACCCCTATAGTACCCCTGTTCCCCATCTATCCTTATAGTGCCCACCTCTACGCCTATAGTAACCCTGTTCCCAATGTATCCCTTTAGTGCCCTCCTCTTCCCCTATAGTGCCCCCTCTTCCCTATCGTAACCCTGTTCCCCATCTATCCCTATAGTGCCCCCCTCTTCCCCTATAGTGCCCCCTTTACCCCTATAGTAACCCTGTTCCCCATCTATCCCTATAGTGCCCCCTCTACTCCTATAGTAACCCTGTTCCCCATCTATCCCTATAGTGCCCCCTATCCCTATAGGGCCCCCCTCTACCCCTATAGTAACCCTGTTCCCCCTCTACCACTAAAGTGACCCCCTCTACCCCTATAGTACCCCTGTTCCCTATAGTGCCCCCTCTACCCCTAT